GAAAAGCAATTTGAAGGGATGCAACAATTTTCAGTTCCATAGTCTGATCTCAAAAATTGTGGAACTCCTAATCATTGTACATTGCGTATACTAATACCATATTGTAGGTTTAACATACCTGCTACCTCTTCTACTGTTTCTAAATAAAACCTTGCAATAACTTTTGGATTGTGGTTTGAAGGAAATACATTTAGCCACATAATTTTCCTAGAAAATCTGTTGCAAATATATAAATTTCACAAAATTAACTTTACAGTTGTATACCCATCTATACATCCATCCATGAATTGTGATACCATAAGGGGAGAGTTTATCATATCCATCAATATGCCAAGTATAGTTAGGTCACTTTAAAACTGATAGATTTATGTCAATTAAAATAACATAACCTTGCTTCCATTATTGTCTGCTCTTAAAAAAATTTTTTTGCTGTAGCTAGCACTTCCTCAGCATCCACCCCCTGTAAAATCTTCAAAACAGTGTCTCTGCACAATTATGGTATAGCTATCATAAATAAACAATGATTTTGTACCTTTGAACAATGCAATTATATTTGTCACGTAATAGTTTCCATATAGCTCTGTACCCTTTCAGTTTCTCACTAGTTTCAAGTATTTTATAATTAGACTTATAACAACAGTAAGGTCTGTGTCACTTTTGCGTCTCTGAAGTCCAAGCCCCCTTAACTTTAGTTTTAGTCAGGACAAACTATTATAAAATATATGGACAATGCAATTACTTGTACTTTGACTATTGCTTTCTCTTTATACCACACTGTACTTCAATTGCTAATTCAAAATATCTTTATTAGCATTCCAAAGATAAAATTGCTCTTTTATAACATCTATATAATAATTATAATTTTCACACTGCTATTCCATGGAATTAATAGGGATAACTTACCAGTAAATTTAGGCATTTTTACTTAGGAAAAGTTAAATTAATTATGCAGAGTGGGCGTGTCTTTTCATTCTAGTTAATTAATTAAAATGAATTCTCAATTACACCCGGGCGGGTTCCAGACAGATATCTGAGCGGGAAACTTATCCACACTGTGAATGGATCTGTTGACGGGTTGACCCTCTTGGCCACCGTAGGATGGAGATCTGGTCTGGGTCCGTATCTCGACTCAGAAGTGAATCATGGTGATATGGACATTGGCGTATATAGGTGTGACTAGGGTGTGGCTTTTAAAATGGCAGGTGCAGAGAAAGTGTTGTCTGACATTGCTGCTATGTCTGAATCTATTTGTGATAAGGTATACACAAGCTGAGGAGTAAAGACAGCGATTCAGATTAGCTTCAGGTACAAAACAGCAATAAAATCAACTATGGCCAATTTTTATCAAACAGACTTAATTGAGAGAGGGAACCGCCTTCAAAAAATGTGAAAGCAAAAGAAGAAAGAGGTTAAAAAGTACAAGAAGGATCAAACAATTTAGGTAATGTTTCCACTACATTGTGAAGAGTATGTCAGAATTCTTTTATTGTTTTTAGATAAATTGTTTTCAAATGGAAGAGAGAGCCTCTCATAGTTTTGTTAGAGAATCTCCAGTGTATGAAGTGAATGTTAGGAGATCATATTCATACTCTGATCTAAAATATATTAGTAACGCGGTAGCGTTACTAAGTAGGATTCACCCCCAAACAAAATGGCTGCCACGACTTTTGCAGCCTTGCTATACCGGGAAAACGAGCTCCTATGCTTACCAGACTTTATGGAGGACCTCATCTTGACCAGAGGACTCCAGTGGCACCACTTGCGTGGCTCTAGGCCCTGTCTAAGAGGAAATTCAAAAATCGGCGAACCGGCCGTTTTGTTCAGCCACCTTTTTTCATCTTCATCATCATCATCATCATCATCATCAAGTCAGAAGTCCTGTCAATCCAGTTGTCGGTGTGTATCTCAGTATTGGTTGGTGCTACAAGGATAATTCTTACACCAATGTACTCCAACAGTCTATGCGCAGGTCCATGTCCCATCAGATCATTCTTCAAGTAAGGAAAAAGTGATACTGTGACTGCTGGATCGAGCCATCTTAGCTGCATGCCGCCATTTTGTTAATTAAAGAAGCTTGCCATGTGCTCCAAAATTTGGGTGTGGTCGCGCATGCTCAGAGATCTGCAGTCTGGTATTAATTAACTATTAGCTCTAATTAATCGGATGTAAAATTTAAAAATGAAAGAGTCAAGGTAGGTAAATTATTGTTTTCTTTAGTTATTGATGCATGATGGTTTATACAGGTAACCTTCAGCAATTCAAAGAACACTCTTCTTATCTGCCCAAGTCTTACTGTGTTTATATATATTGTCTATAATTTGTATTTGTAATTTATTGTGAATTGTTATAATTATTGAATTGGGCGTGGCTATAAGGGGTGTGATTTGCGCATGCTCAGATTGTAGAACTTGTGCTATCTTATGGTGGACAGTGCTACTCTCTTACTGACTGATCTAAGTGATCTTGAAAGTGAAACTGTTTAAGCTGATCTTGAATTAATCTTAAAGTGCTGGTCATAAACAAGATTTTCAAAGATAAGCATTAATATTACTATAATTGATAATAGTAATCAAGCTATTGATAATTACTACTGAAAATTGACTTTAACACCACGTTGATTTTCTTTTACTGTATATATATATATATAAATATAGTATTTATAGCTATTATAAGTCATGCCTAACTTAAGGGCGAAAGCATCTGCTAAAAAGCTTAGAAAGTTGATGAAAGAAAAACGGGCTAGGGCTAAAGCAAAGTGTAGTGTTGATGAAAGGCATGATATCACTGCAGAGCCTATATTAGGTTCCAATGCTAGTGTAGAATGCAGTGGTGGCGTCCTTAATGAAGGGTTGTGTGATGTTGCTACAGAGCAAGAAGTTATTTCTGGCTCTGTGTGTGATCATAACCCAGAGTTATGTGATATCACAGAGTATGTAGTACCTTCTGCTGTTGATGACGCAGACCCTTTTGTTCTTTCTGATCCCCCAGAATGTAATGCTTGGTCTGTGTGGGATCATAACCCGCCAGAGTTGTGTGACAACACACAGTTTGAAGTCGCTACTACTTATGAAGATGACACAACTGTCAGAGATAGACAGTTAATCAAAAAAAAGGAGAGGTCAAAGCAAAATTACTATGAAAATCATGATGAAAACCTAGCCAAATCAAAAAAATATCGGACCCAAAATAAACAGAAAGTATCAAATTATTTGAAAAAATATAAAACTAGGAATAAAATAAAAGCAACAGAATATTCAAAAAAATATCGTGCCTCAAATAATGGTAAACATAAAGTATCGGATTATTTGAAAAAGCATCATGCTTCTCATCATAAAGAGAGATTAAAGGCATTTAAAGATAATTATATTGCTAATCGTGAAGAGAGATTAGAGACATTTAAAGATAATTAATTATATTGCTAATCGTGAAGAGAGATTAGAGGCATTTAAAAATAATTATGTTGCTAATCGTGAAGAGAGATTAGAGGCATTTAAAGATAATTATATTGCTAATTGTGAAGAGAGATTAAAGGCATTTAAAGATAATTATATTGCTAATCGTGAAGAGAGATTAGAGGCATTTAAAGATAATTATATTGCTAATCGGGAAGAGAGATTAGAAGGTTTCAAAGACAATTATGCCGCTAATTTAGAAGAAAGAAAAAAACCATGCATGAGTATTACACCTCTCACAGTCAGCAAATAAAAGATAATGCTAGAGAGCATTATGCTGCTGTGGCTAACACAAAAAATGCCAAGCTAAGACAAAACTATAGAATAAAGTGTAACTTAAATCCACCAACAAGAAGTGTATCAGCGAAAAAAAGATCTAAAATCATAGCAAGAATATTGCAAAAAGAAGCAAAAAAATTTGGTATATTATCAGAAAAATTTTCTCAAATTAAGACAAAACAGAAGAGCTAGATACAATTTAGGTGAACCAAAAGTTGATTTACAAAACAGATACATAGCAATAATTAGACAAAAACTTGCTAAAAATAAAGGAGTACAAAAGCAATTGAAAGTTGCTTTTAATATTGACAAGTCCTTGCCGATTGCTGTCATGCAGTCGGGTATTAATTTAATTGCAGCTAGAAGACTTGTTACTGTAATATTAAATATACGTAGACATTTTGCTGGAATGCTTCTTGGGGTAATTAAAAAAGTTAATAATAATACATACATTGGCAATGGGGAATTTGGTGATTCATATCACGTGGCCAGTTGTGAGCCACACTTTTACCAAGCATGCTATAAACATGCCCCATCAACTGTCAATAATGATAGTTTAATTTTAGACGATGATTTAGCAAAACTTATTGACGGTTTCGATGACAATGATGAAGAAATTTCAAGCAAAGATGCAGAAAAAGACGTACAAAATGATAATGTTGTTACTAGTGATACAAAAGATAAAAATGATGTAGACAGGGGTTAAAAAAAGAACTGTAAAAATAGCATGTACCGACAATTGTAAACCACTGACAGATTTTCAAATCGAAACAATCAAAGATTTAAAAGAAGCATTCAGTAAACCTGCTAAGGAATTTCGGAAAATTTTGAGAGACGTAGATACAGGTTGCCCAAATGAGCATGATCCACAAAAGAATGGTCATCCATTGACTTGTTATGAGGATGACAGTACATGTAAAAGCAAGCTAAGAATACTGAGCTGCTCTCCTCACTATCCCATACTACGCACTTTCCTGTATAATGTTTATCAAACCAGAAATTACGATGAGGCTGTCAATCTGATAGATAGCATTGAGTGGAGATGTGGATGCTTTGATTAAAATTGCAACCAAGTCTGATCCAAACAATGAAAAGAGTGATGTCGCCCAAATTTTCTCATCTAGATATGACGAGAGTGATAGTGACATAAATTTAAGGGATCCAGACTTATAAGTGAAGCTACTTAAAGAAAATGTTAACCTGATAGCTGAGTTCCAAAAGGAAATCAGTGATCAAAATGAGCATGTTTGTTGTAGCTGTAGAAGATTAATGAGACGTAGCAATCTGGCCAAAGTTTTTGATAAGGACAAAGAGAGTGAGGTTTGGAGACAATTGGAAGCCTTCCTCACCGATTATGATCCAAATTTTAGCAGCAAACAGCTTTTAATGTGTAAAAATTGCAAGCCTACAATAAAAAACAATAGAATTCCTAACAGATGTGTATTAAATGGTTTGCAAAGTGAGCCTTTGCCAGACGAGCTTAAAGGCCTAGATGCCTTTAGTACTCAGTTAATTCAACTAGCAAAATGCTTCCAAACTGTTGTTAGACTGGGAACTTACACTGCTAAAGTCCCAATATACAACTCTTTAAAAGCATGCAAAGGGACAGTGTTTTATCTCCCATTGCCAGTTAAAAAAACAATGAAAAGTTTAAGTAAAGCAGAAGACTTTAGACCGAAAAATCTGCCAAATCCCGAATTGCACGTCATTTTAAACAGTGAAGCTACAAAAACTAATAAAATCTGGCGCACTTTAGTTGATGTCGACAAAGTGCAAGCTGCTTATGAGAAACTGAAAGACATCAACTGGCTTTATGGAAATCTTGACGACGAATCTTTAGATGATGTAGCAAAAAAAGTCGTCGAAACAGCCAACAGTGCTACCAGTACTATGGTGGAGGAAGCAACCGATGAGGACATTCTAGGCTTCCAGTCTTACACGATTCAGAACATGAATTCGAATTTAAACAAGGGGAGCGACATCCAGCAATACAAGATGACTCATGTCAGGGAAGACCCACTCGATAACAGACAGATGCACTTGGATGTCATGTGCTTTCCAACTCTGTTTCCAACTGGGAGGTTTGGAGAGTATCATCCAAGGCCAGTG